TTTTTAATCATGTGGTCGTGGGCAAGTGACTTCCCCTCCCAGGGGCTCGGGACCTCTGTGACCTTTCCTCTAAAGTAATAAATAGCATCATGACCCCATCTCATGGTGCTGTGGTCTCTGATGCTCTTGGGACCTGCAGCAGAGACCTGAAGGGTCACATCAAATATATTAACATTTATGCCATGATCCAGTTGTACAGACAGTCGGGTTGCAAATCGCTCAGACCAGGACAGGTTTTGCCATGCACTTGTCAGATTTGGTTCTGCAGTGAAATGAGTTATACAGTTTTTTATTTCGGAGCATTTTGGGTTTTGTCCTTGTGGATGTGGGCAGGGAGGCTTGGGTTTTATCTCCAGTAGCATCTACCCAGAGTGAATTGTATTTGAGAAGGTTGGGGAGTTTGGAGGACCATACAGGACATGGATTCCAGCTCATCATACTGCAGTTGAGCAAACTGTGGAGAAAAACTGCTTTGGAGAAATGTATATCTAGCAAACGTAGAATTCTAAACCAAAAATAGACATCACTTGGCTACAGTGATGTGAATGCTTGCAAAGTAAAATAGAAAAAGACCGTGTGTGTGTGTGTGTGTAAAAACCACTTCCCAACCACGCTTGGTTTGGGTTATCCACTTACCCGCTAGGTCCTTTTTTTCCCATCACAAGCAGTTGCAGGGACTGCTGAGAAACCCCAGCTTTGAGAATGCACACCATTTCCTGAAAAAGACCATGAGCCATCAGAACCTTCAAAATGCTCTTGACCTGGGCTGGAACAAAGCTGCTTGGGAAAATCACTAGAAATTCCTTATCTGGAATCCCTGGTTATTACCGTCATCTTCCCAATTATTTTAACAACGCTCCAGTTATGTCCAGTGGGTTTGAGGAATGCCATTTCTGTGCCATCCTGTGTCAGCAACTTGGACCGTTGGGATCAGTGGGAAATACAAGTCTAGTCTACTAGAAAATGACTTTTGATTTCTGGGGTTGACTTCTGGCTGTTTCTTTTGCCTTTCCCTCAGTTCCTTGCCGTCTTCAATCTTGTTTATCTCATGTCTTTTTTTTTTTTTTAAAGATTTATTTGTGCATACAGAACTGGAGTACAGGCCAGAAGTATGGTGGGTGAGAGGATTCACCTGAGACAGATTGGGGAGCAGAACAGGCAGAGCAATGAAGTACACTGCTGAGGGGAGCAGCGGGCGGGTCAGGAGAGGTCTGGCTCACCATGTGGTCACCTCCAGGGCGGGATCGAACTCATGCTGAAGTGGCTTTAGCTTCTTAGTGCTGTGCTTTAACCCACTATGCCACCAGGGAGGGCCCTCTCCTGTCTTCTTTTGTGATCTTCTCAATAGGGTCTTGGCAAAATACAACACACACTAGGTTGTCAAAATACAATGAATTGAGCAAACATATAGCTGTGCCTAGAGAAATCCCAAAGGCTTTTGATAAATGCTGACTTTTGCTGGACTTTTTTTCCTATTAATGTTGTAGAGAGGAATCATATTCACCAGCAAGAAGGGTGAACCCTCTCTGTGCAAGGGATGCTTGAGATGAGGTGATGGGCCTGGCCTGTTTTTTTTTTAAACATAGACTCCTATAACTGCCTCTTAAAAAGTAATTCCCTACAGGTAAAGAAAAAGTTATATATGATGAGTGTAGACTTTTTTTATTAGAAAATGATAATAAAATATCTTTTAGGATATCAAGATTCCTTCTAATCTTTCTTAGGACCTGATAGTATAAACTATTTGAGTTAAAAGAATGATATATTTTTTTTAATTACAAAGTTTATTTTTACATCATTTTGCACATTTTTTTTTCCCATCTCGATTGTAATCCCTGCGGGTTTGTGATGGGCCTGTTATTAAAGAGGCTGAGGGCCTTGGGTTACTGCCGGCATAAAGGGAGCGGTGGTCTGGGCCCCAGAAGGGCCATACGAGATTGGGATGAATAGTAGAATTTTGCAGTTGTTCATCTGTAAGCTGCTTGTGTGGGTGTTGGGGCATCTTCAAAGCATGCCCTGCTCCTTGCTGAGCTAATTGGAACCCAACTGCTAGGCTAGTAGTTTTGACATTTGGGGAGCCCTTAATCTACATGCTGAAGTATGAGAACAAACTGACATTTAACATTTGGCAGAAAAGTGGGTAAGGGATTAAACATTATTGAAAGAAAATATGCTTTGAGCAGGCATTTGTACTTGGATGGTGCTCTTGTTCCCAGCCCCATTTTCCCATTTTATAGATGCAGACAAGGCTCCTGGAAAGTACGAGGAAGCCACGGTCCAGCAGGCAGGAGCCAGATTGCAGGGTCTGAGTGCAGCCCCTACCACTGAATAGCAGTGCAATTTGGGGAATTCCTTAACCTTTCCCATCTGGGAGTAACATCACTTGCTATGCCGTAGTTTCATCATGAAGATTCAATTCTTAGCTTAATTCTGGCTCAAAAAATGCATCCAAAATGTGGTTATTGATATTAGTGTTGAGAAGGAAATAACAAGTCTGGGGCTTACTGCCACCATGTCTGCAACCACTGCCCTGATTGCTGGACCCTGTGCTGGGCTTCCCGCTCACATGGCCCCCCTGCTTATTGGGGTGCACATCTCAGCTATGCCCTGAATGCCTTTTACATGGCTCCTCACTGGCCTCTACCACTTCTTGAATCTCTCCACTGAGCTTCTGGCCTTCTAGTTCTGCACAGACACGATTGCTTTTGTTAAGAGAAGACAAGAGACTCTCTGGCACCTGTTCTCTCAAGCTCCTTCTGCTCACAGCAAAGGACTAATTCAGCCACCTATTCCTGCCTCAGGAAGAAGTGTCTCCCTTGCAAGGGTTTAATCTGACCCCATCAGTGGAGACCATCTCCAGCTTCCCCAAGGTCATCACTCTGGATTCCCTCCCAGTCTCTTCCTTTAGCTTGGGTTCAGTTACTTAAAAACAACAACAAACAGAGCCCTCCCTGGTGATGCTACAGCTTAAAGCACCACATTGTGAAGCTCTCTGCAGCCACTGCAGCATGAGTTCGATCCCCAGCCAGGGAAGTGACCCACGTGGCGAGGCAGATGTCTCCTGACCCTCCTGCTGCTCCCCTCAGCAGTGTACTTCATTGATCTACCTGTTCTGTTCCTCACTCTGTCTCTGGTAAATCCTCTTATCGCCCCTGCACCTCTGGCCTGTACCCTAGTTCTGTATACAGAAATAAATAAATTTGAAAAACAGTAACAACAAACAAAAGTCTACTGTGTTCTAGTTGCTCAGTGGCTTCTAGAAAGGGAAAACCAAGCTCAGCATCTCCGCAACCCAGGAGATCCGGTCTTGCTATCTTCAGTCTGTAGAGAAGGTGCTCCTTCCTTCCAGGGCCGCAGTTACCTCCCCTGGATTGCTTTTTCCCTTTTTATTTTACTTTTACATTTAGAACTTGCAAACTTGGCAGCAATATTTTGGAACAGGAACCATGGCATCTTGTAGGCTTACAAAGGGGTCTGTGACTCCCAAGTGGTGGACAAACCTCTGCTCTAAATCTTTTTCTTTTTTTAAGTGTCCTCTCCTTGGTACAAAAACTATACTCATTTTAGAAAATTATAAAAAAATATAAAAATAAAATGTAAAATTATCCTGTGACTCATAATCACAATATTTTGGTGAATTCTTTGTACATTTTATATCTTTATGAATTTTTTTTACTAGCTGGATCATATTACATATAAGATTTTTAATTCACTTTTTAAAATTGAACACTAGAGCACGTTTTCCCATATCATCCTAAAATCTTCATAAATTTACAGCTTCACAAATACATATTATTCCATCAAATGGTTATTAGACAGTCGACTTAGACATTTTGCTATCCCATTGTCAAATGGGGAGCTTGTTTGCATTTTTTCACTTTATAAATAATACTGTAACAATCCTTGCTATTCCTTCAGACTCAAAATAAATAATTTGTTCCAGCTTCAGTTGTGATTCATTTGGGGGTGAAGGGAAAAGGTGGGCACAGGGTTCACAAGCAAATTATTAACAAAAGTCAGAGAAAAACTGGACTTACTTATGTTAAATGTTTTAGGCCTTATTTGTGAATAGTTCCTTTGTGTCTTAAAAGTTATTCTTCAGTGAAGTGTTAAGGCACAGCACAGTACATTCCAGCTGACATTTTCCTTGTTAGCAAGTCTTTATAGTTCTAACAGGACTGTCCAATAATTCGCTCTGAGTTGATGAAAATGTTCTCCAACTGCTCTGCCAGTGTGACAGCAGTTAGCCCTGAGTGATAGCCCTGGAGCTGTCATTAGAGAAAGTGAGGAAAGTGAAAGCCTTAGCTAATTTTAATTGACTTCAAATTTAAATGTAAGTAGCCACTGGCAGCCTTGTTGCTAGTTCAGCTTAGGGACACACATGCTTTTCCTTAAACATATATGCCTGTATATCACCTAAATGAGGGTGTGACCTTAAGCTTCACTTTCAGTAAAAACCAGAAGCAACATTTCTTTAACTCCCTTTTCAATTTTGAATGAGTACAAATACATATGTTTTGACATGTGTTATTTATATATACACAATTCACTCATATCTAGATATATATTATTTAATGTATATAGTTGATGCATATAGTGATGGAATCACTTAGTAATTGGAAAAAGAATTAAGAAAAAATAAAATAGGTTATACTCATACTCAATACTAGAGGTTAACAGATAAAATAATGCAATTTCTTTTTTTTTTTTAAGATTTATTTATTTGAGCATACAGAACTGAGGTGGAGGCCAGGGGTGCAGGGGTCGGGAGAGTGGGGAACAGAACAGGGTGACTGATGAAGTACACTGCTGAGGGGAGCAGCGGGTGGTCAGGAGAGGTCTGCCGTGCCATGTGGGTCACCTCCGCGGCTGGGAATCGAACTTGCACAAAGCGTCTAGGGCTTGGGGCTTGGTCTAGCTTCATTTTCTTACTAGTTTACACAGCAGTTTCCTTTCTTGCTCAGAGTTAATGGGCGTCTCCACGTGGGTTCCTTCCTCAGACCACGGGGGCGGCCACTCGGCGCACTCCGGAGCAGAGACCACCACTGCACCCACGAACAGCGACGGGAACGGGCATCCCGAGTACATCGCCTATGCGCTTGTCCCCGTGTTCTTCGTCATGGGTCTCTTCGGGGTCCTCATCTGCCACCTGCTGAAGAAGAAAGGCTATCGCTGCACCACTGAAGCTGAGCAAGAGGTGGAGGAAGAGAAGGTTGAAAAGATAGGTAAGTAGCCTAGGCTCTTCTCTGGAGGTGTGAAGAGGGCAGTTACTCAACAAGAAAGCTGCCTTGTGTTTTCCATTTCTCGGAGACCACCCGAAGAGTGGTGGTGTGGTTGGGAACTTGGCGTTCCCTTAGCAAATACCTGCCAGGTCCCCTAACTATTCTCTCCTGGCTTCCAGCAGGTTAGAGGTGCTTGGGGTCTCCCCTGTGTATACATGAACTGAGAATTATACTTAATTGTTCAACTTCAAGTGGAGGATAACTTTAACTTAAATGAGAATAATGTCCTCTTTGTAGGATTATAGTAAAATGATGATGCTTTTGGTGTTTGGCATATATAGCAACACTCAGTAAATATTAACCCTTGCTAGTATTATTGAATTTGATTTTAATAAAAATAATGCAAAAATTAAATAGGTCTCATCATCGTTGTGCTGTTACTTTTGCTGGGGGAGTTCTAGCTTAAATCAATGAGACTGGAACTGATGCTAATAAAGGAGATGATTGGGTGACGGGGTGGAACAAGGCTGGGATGAATGGGCCCCCAAGCAGGCACCTTATGCTGTCCCACACATGCCTGTCAACATGGAATTGTCAGGTTGAAGAGTGAAATCCTGTTTTGTCCAACAGCTGTCCTTTCCAGTCCTCCTTTAGGGATGTTTCCTGACTTGGCTATGGGGTAGTAGACACCTGTCCTTGACCTTGCAGTCCCTGAAAGGGCAGCTCTTGCAGAAAGGTGACATTTGGAATAGGTCATTCTTCAAGTCAGCCCCAAGGATGGAGTGGGGGAGCTTCCTCATTCCTTGCCAGCTTGCTGGGCTGTTGGTTTTTCCTACCCCCACTGACCTTTGAGGCAGCAGAGAACAAGGTTGCAGGATGAGTCATGTGTAAGCTAATGAGCAAGTGAAAGCTGAGAGTTTGTCAACAGAGAGCAGAGCCTCTTCCTCCTCCTCCTCGCCTTCCTAGACACGCTCAGGGTGGTATGGCTGTCAGCATTTGCGCCTCCGGACAACTGCCTTTTCAGAAGGAGGAAGTCCACTGGGGATGGAGAAGACACTTTTCCAGAACCATTTGCAAAGCTCAACTTGCCTTCTGTGACTCAGGGTAGAGTGTCTCAACCCTGCCTCTTTGCCCTTATTTTGTTGAAACAAATGAGGCAGATGGGTTTTGGAGCAGAGACTGAGTCTTTTCAAAGACTATCACTTATACAGAGTCTCCCAAAGTAAACTGAATCTGACAGATAGCTACAGCCACAACATTTGGGTCATCTCAGAGGTAAGGAGAGTATTATAAACTTGGCTGAAGACTCCGTTTAGAAGGGAAATGAATTTTGTCAATGCATAGTCTATTTGCTACTAGATTAAAATCCACAGACAACTTCTTTCCAGTTCACTTTCTTGCCATTTCCCTCAAAGGTTTCAGGAAACGATTAGAAAGAAGTAATAGTAGGAAGAACTGCTATACATGCATGAGAATATTGTCTTGGAAAGTTGAGTGGGTATTTGGACTTCAGATGAGATTGATGAACAACTCTGACCCTTGTATGCCTGTAATATAAAGGAAACCTCTATCCATTATGTACCAGGCAATCTGAGTTGAGTAAGAAGGTCTAGATGCCCAACTCCATGGTTGATAGGCTGGGACATTCACTTCTGAGAGAGACTGTTCCTTGATGTCTTGAGTTCTAAGCCTGAAAGTCTCATTGACTTGATGCAGGAGACTAATGTACCCACCGCTTCCCCCTCTCTCTTTCAGAGCTGAATGACAGTGTAAATGAAAACAGTGATACTGTTGGGCAAATTGTCCACTACATCATGAAAAATGAAGGTATGCAAATTTCGGTGTTCTGGAACAATTCGTATTCATACATTGTATTAATCTGTTTTGAAGAGTCATCATTTGTATGGATCCTCCGGTGTTTTTTTTTTTTTTTTTAATTACTGGTAACTTCTTTATCTAAATTCACTAATAACTCGGCTTCCAGCATTATGTGGCCACGAGAGTTTCATCTAAGCGAAAATGCTATGAGTCAGTTGTTCTGAATTTTCTAAGAACTGGCCTTGGGGGTGACCTGAACATTCAAGTCCTGGCCTCACCTGAATTTGGGAGAATCACATCATCTCATGAAGCCTCATCCTCTGTAAAGATCCTCCTTCTCTGTAAAAGGAAGGTAACAGTAATATTTGTCTTGTAGCTTTGTTGTGATACCTGTATGCTTAGTGCTCAGTATACTAAGAACTCCAATATGATCGATTCCTTTCTTTGCATTTAAAAAGAAAGTTGTGATATAATGTACACAGCAAAACTGACCATCACAAACAGTTAGAAACGTACAGTCAGGGCCTTAAGGTGCAATCACAACATGCTGCCACCACCACTCTAGTTCCAGAAATTTCATTGTCTCAACTGTAGCTCTGTACTTTTAAAAGTCATCACCATTTCACCCTTCCCCATCGCTGGCAGCCGCTGTTCTGTTTACTGTCTCTTTGAATCTTCCCATTCAGAATCTTCCCATTCTTAAATGTAAAAGCTTTTTGTGAACTTCAGCATGTTTCCCCCTCAGAAATGTATTCTAGTCTTCTTGAACAATTCATTTACTCTTGATTGGATGAATTAGGATGATCTGAAGGCTGATTTTTGTCCTGATCGGATACCACGACTTCCTGAGGGCTTGGAGGCTGCAGCCTCTTGATCACAAGCTCAACAGCTGCAGGTTTACTTGGAATTCACATGAGACTGTACAAGAAAACCTTCCCGGGGCCCCGTCAGTGCTGACTCGGGCAGTGTGCGCTGATGTAGCCCAGCCGTGTGTCCTGAAGTTGACAGAGCTCCGTGCTGCTCCATACATTCCTGCTGTCTTGCACCAAGCCGCCCCCGGGAGCCCCCCAGTTCAGTGGCTCAGGCTGTGGGGTGTCGTGGGTTTGCTTAGAACAGTCATTCAGCCCAGGCTTAGCGTGATTTTCGTTGTTCTTGCGTGCTTTCTGCATTGGTTGACATCTAGGTCTTCATGTGAATAAGTTCACTTGATACTCGGTGGCTGTCTCTCACCACCTTCCAGCGGAAGCAGCAGGCGCTCTGGGTGTTCGGCTCACCTAAGCAGCAGCAGCAAAGCTCAGTCTGGTCTCCTGGGGGAGCACAGTAGCCTTTCCTGTCCTCTCCTTGAAGCTTCCCTTTTCCACAGGACTTAAAGCTAGATGACCAGACTCAATAGAATGGTGTCTAAAGTAAAAACTAAACGCCACACGTGTGGGTTTCCGTCTCGGCCTTCCTTCAGGGGCGGTATTTGGTGATACTGTCATTTAACCAAGAGGCATGTTTCTTTCACATAAAAAAGTGCTTTTCAGTTTACCCAAGAAATATACAGATATATTCTGGGCGTCTTAGAGGCGTCTGGGGTAAGAGGTGGGTGACCCTTTATTGCTCCTTCACTTTGTGCATTTGAAGCTGTGCCTGGGCTTTGCAGGAGTCACAGGTTGAGCTGCTGCATTAGTGAATGCAGAGTGTGGCTGTTTCCTAACAGCTGATGGTTGGAAGAAGTCAACTGTGGAAACTTTGCTGGAGGCTGAAGTTCTTACCTGTAGCTGCACAGCAGGCACTGAGCGTTCCCTGTGTGCCTGTCCTGTCCTAAGGGCCTTCCGGGGGCTAACCACTGGGTGATTCAGATTCTCTATTCCCACATTACAGTTCAGAAATGGATGCCTGAGTGCTTAACTAACTTGCTGACACCACACTGTGTGCGGGAAAGTGGCAGGGCTGCCGCTTGAACCCTGCCTGTGACTCTGGTCTCAATTTAGCCACACTCTGGCCCTCTGCTACTGGACAGAGGGATGGTAAACTTCCTCCTGCCAAGGAGAGAAAGCATACCGCTGGGGAGCTTTAAGGAAAAGTTTATCCTTAAGCATTAACTCACGACACTCTCCCCACCAGCTTATTGAGGTAGTTTATCACTTGCCCCAAGTCACACAAGCAGACTGTGGCACCCGGTGCCTGTGGTGGCACTTCCTGTAATTACAGCCGAGGACAAGGCTTTGGATCCCCGGAGCAAGCACACGGTGTAATTTCCTCACCTCCCACATTCCTGAGCAAAGAAAGCTCTGTTTTTACTTACATCCTTCTTTCGGAATGCAGCCTTTTGGGCTGATAGGTACGTGCCCTTCTCTTCCTTCTGTCTGATTCTTAACCCTCCCCCGTGTCCTGCTCAGTGACTGTACCTATCTCCTGTGACTCCCCAGTGGCCTGTGAGATGGGTCTGGTCTCTGGGTGGCCTCTGGTTCTCCTTGGCTCAGGGAGACATCTGATCTCCCGGACACCCCTCCTCTGGCTGCAACCCCTGCTTGCTCCCAACTTGTGCTAAGTAAGCGACAGCTGCTGACCTACTGGGCCTCTTACCAGTTTCTAACATCGCTTTTTAACTTTGCTGTTCACATGTGAACCCTCTGTAGAACAAAGGCATTTGTGCCTTTTCTTGTTTCAGTTCTCAACAGTCTGAATTTCCTATCCATCTAAATCTCCCTGTTGCTGTTAACTTAGCTACATATATGTGCATGTGTGTGTGTGTAGAGACATATATAAATTTATATATTTATATATGTCTCTACACACACACACACGCACATATACACCACCATATAACTTTTCTTTAAAAATTAAAATGAAGAATAAAATTCAGTATAATCAATCCGTGTTTACTTAGGTTTTCTTTGCCCTTGTTTACATACATTTAGTCACTTGCAACCTTGATACATGGATAGTCTACTGCTTTGCATTTTAATTTGGTTAATCGAGTGATATTTCACTTGTACTCACGGTGACATTCTTGTTTATGGTTTAAACTTTTCATGTTTTGAATGTTGCAACTCAGGTTTTGTTTAGATAAATCTCTCTTGAAGGATGAATTTTTCAACTGAGCTGCATACTGGTTCCTCCCAACCTTGAGGTTTGCATTAATCCCAGTGCTACCTGTATTTTTTTTAAGCAGAGTTGAATTGAACTTGAGGGGCCATTTGGGTTTTCTTGCCTTGTATGGGAATTTGGAAAGTACCCACGACTCAGAGTTGAATTTCTCTGTGAGGCCTTTCAACTGTCTGGTGGACTAACCATTAACATTAGTTTGACTACTCCCCAAGGACCCTCTGATTATTCACACAGAGGAATGACTGTGATGTTCTTACCTGGGACTCAATTTATATGAGAAAAAGGATCTGTTTATAAACTATTGTCTTACTAAGGTCTCTGAGCCTTGCTCTCTGGTTCTGTAAATATTCTGTGAACCGAGATGGGAGTTATAGGGGTACAGATGTAGATGTTGAAGGAGTGGGAAGGAGAGCGTGGAGGTTGAGGGGACCCAGCCTAGGATCAGAGAGACCAGGGCTTGTGTCCAGATCTGTCTCTGACTCTGTGACCCTGGCAGTCAGTTGTCATCTTTTCCTCAGTCTGCATATCTGTGAAATGGGGGATATTTCCACCTGTTGTGGGGTTGTTGGGGTACCCAAGTATGGAGGGAAAACTTCAAAATGAATTGTGGTGGAAACCACCACATTTTTCTGTTTTATATGTATTACCAGGAAAGAAGAGAGGAAGTATTTTCGGGAAATTACTGCTCACTAGGAATATTCCCATGTAACTTACTCCTCCCATTGTCTGGAAACCCATTAGAAAAATATAGTTGACAGAATGTTGACAAATATAGGGAAAACATGCAAAGAAGCAATATATAGTCTGTGTAACTTGATTAGATTATTGCTCTCTTAATTTTACACCCTAATTAAAACATGTGTGTAAGTCCTAATGGTGGTGTTATGTAAGAGTTTTTTGTCTTTTTTTTACCACAAGAAACCAAAATATTCCCAAAGGACAGTTCATTGAGATTTATTCTCTGGTGTAAACTGAAAGTTCGACTAGGGAAGTGTGTGTGTGTGTGTGTGTGTGAGTGTGGTGATCCCACACACTGAACATCCCGATTGTGAGTTAGTGTGAAGGTTGTATAGAAATTTAATAGTAAAGGGGCTATTTGAGAATTATTTCTCAAAGATAAAGGTGAAGTATAGGAATTCACAAATAGATGACAATATAAGTCTTTAAAAGCAAGTTGAAGTGATAAACCTAATGTATTTTAACAATCGTCTTGGAATCTTATAACTCAATGTTTCTAAAAGAGGGTGTCATTTCTAGGTGAAAATTATGTGTGGCAACTATTTAAACTTTGGGTTTGCAACAGCTTAGCCTATGAATGTTTTTGCTTTCAGCCTTTAAAAATGCTGTTTCGCTCTTGTCTGTCTATAGTTTTGAAGTTTGATGGATGATCGCATCAGCATAATTGTCCACTGGCAAATTGTTTTAGTTCATGTCTGAAGCCTTTATCTGACAGAAAATTACTTTTATGAATAGTTGTTCAAAAGGGAAAATGACTGACAGCCCTAGATTATACTTAAATTTGTCCACAGAGGCGAAGGTGTGTTTGTCATGTGGGAGAAGATTTTGCCAATTCATTTCAGCACTTTTTTTGTAATGACAAGACTGTTCTTCAGATAAAAGCGTGCTTGGAAAGGCATTTAGGTATCTTGATAGTCATGAAGGGCAAAGAAAATGTTTCTTCTAGAAAAGAATGGTATGATAAGCTAATATTTCTTTTAAAAGTTTAGGGAAAACCAACTTTTATAGCTTATTGGAGTTACAAGTATTCAGAGAAGCCATATATTCTCAAGGGCTGTGATAGGGTGAAATTGTGGAAGCCAAAACACCCCTTATTCTATGGTAATGGCACAGGGGTGATTTGGTGATGGGAAGCCCATGGGGATTACAACTGAAATGGAAAAAGGCACAAAAGGATGTAAAAACAAACTATTATTTAAAAAAAAAAGAAAATGCTTATTTTCTATATAAGGCACACACCCATTTATGACATAGACCGATACAGCATGTATTTGCATTGTTACAATTTCATGGGAGATTGATTAGGAAATAATTAAGTTAATTTAAATTTAATCGTAAATGGTTGGGAAATACTGTAATTATAGGTAACATTTAACTGTTAGACTTAACTAGGCAATTCTTGAAAGCATCAGTGTTGGAAGCAGAGTTCATTTTCCTCCTCTAGGGCTGTCATTTGAGATAATAAATGTTAAACATCGGTGTTGGCTCACATGGTAGATAGTGACTTTATTCTTTCATCTCTAGAGAACTTGGCGTGGTTCATCATAAACTTTAGAAATCAATGGAAACTTCAGGAGCCATAATAACATTTGGCTTTACCAATTAAATATCCAAGGGAGTATTTAACATTGAATCTTTTGTCTCTGAATTTGCCTGCATGACAAGAGGTAAAAAGAACAATTAATTGTGTCCAGGTGGGGTGGGGTAGGGGCTTAAGAAACTTAGATTCAACTTGGTTTTTGTTATGGCTGAACCCGCTGCCAACTGGGTTTTTTTTAAAAAAGGTAACCTTAGAAGTTTAACTCAGTCCATATAGATTATTCGTGTGTGTGACCAACACTTGAAATTTTAAGATATCTGGTCAGAAGTAAGGCCTTGTATGAATTTGCAGCAGAACTAAGCTAACGGGCCCATTTGGAAAATGAGCTCTCTCCCACTCCAACCATGTGCGCGATAGCTGGGTACCACACAGGCACCCAGGGTGTGGGGCTGACTCTTTGAGTGCATACATGCTACTAGAATACAAGCCTTGTAAGACATCCATGTTCCACCACATCATTTAAATTAAATTGATTAAAAAGTAAGTTAAGGCCCTCCCTGGTGGCGCAGCGGGTTAAAGCACAGCACTGAGAATCTAAAACCGCTTCCGCATGAGTTCGATTCCCGCCTGCCCCGGAGGTGACCACATGGCGAGGCAGACCTCTCCTGACCCGCCCGCTGCTCCCCTCAGCAGCGTACTTCGTCGATCTGCCTGTTCTGTTCCCCACTCTGTCTCTGGTGAAGCCTCTCGCCACCCCTGAGCTTCTGGCCTGTACCCCAGTTCTGTATGTACAGATAAATAAATCTTTAAAAAAAAAAAAAAAAAGTAAGTTAAATGCAATAGAGCACAGCTTGTAAATTTCCCTTTGGTTGGGCGGTGAGGGTGAGGTGAGGAAGCAACGCCCTGCACTAGGTCTGCCTCCTCTGCACAGATTCTCTGCGTGCGTGTTGATCCCCACATGATGGAAGGTATTGGCTGCAGGTGCTGTGTTACCTTAGGAAAGAACCCTCCTCCTCCAGGTCCCCAGGATCTCATCTGTGAACTAAAGGAACTCAAGGAAGGGTTTTCCAAGTTTTCTCACGTGGTGATTTTCTGTGATTACGCATCTTATTCTTTCCATGTTAATTCTTTATTTTCTTTTTCTTTAGCCAATGCCGATGTCTTAAAGGCAATGGTAGCAGACCACAGCCTGTATGATCCTGAGAGGTGAGTGTGCCTCCCACTGAATGGGTCTTTTTCCCCCAGTTATCTGCTAGATCAGGTTTCCCAAGTTTGCTACCTTGGGTCAGAGAAGTCTTTGCCGTGAGAAGCTACCCTGCGCCTTGTGCAGTGTCTGGCAGCGTTCCTGACTTGAGCTCAGTCTATGACCCCTGGAACTTTGCCTGAGAGCCCAGAGTAGCTCTGAACTGTCCCTGGGGGGCAGTTTATTCCTGGTGGAGAGCCATGGTGCTGGGGGATAACGAAGGAGGAAGTAGCAGCATTGACACTGGGGGTCCCCCCTACCCCCCTTACTGACTCCCGTCCTTGGGCAAGTTGCCTGACTGCTCTAGGCTCAACTTCCATCATCTAGAAAATGAAGATAGCCCGTTACCAACTTCACCAGGGAATACAAGATACCCTGGGCATTGAAAACCCTCCTTGAACAATGATGATTAAGAAAAACCAGGCTCTCTTGGAGGTACTTGCTGTGTTTTATTGTGACAGTGCCAGATTTCGGTTATGGCTGTTGAGCATTGTAGGCCTACAGGATTAGTTACAGGCAGCCAAAGTATATAAATGTCCCCTTCTTCAATGGGGAGCATTTGTTGAGGGCTGATGTGTGCTGGTGCATGGTGTTGGGGGTGGTGTCTCCCAGCTCCCTGCCTGGGAGGAGCTTGGCCTGTGGGGAGTGGAGGGAGGGCGCCTGGTGCTGTTGGAATAGTAAGACTGGGTGCTCGGTGGAAGGTCAGGGAAGGTCCAGAGACTGTGAGTCAGACCTGTGTCAGGCAGAGAGGAGGCTTCGGCTACTGGTAGGCGGAGAGCGTCCAGGAGAAAACGCACAGGAACATGAAGTGTGGGTGCAGCAGGGAAGCTTCAGTCAGGGGAGACCCATGGACATATGTGGAGAGTGGGGAAGGCCAGGTAGGCAAGTTGAAGCCAAGTGGCAGGACAAGGGGAGTCAGGCCCTTTGTGCTGACACAATGGGAGGTATCCCCGAACATCACAGATGTTTACCTGTCTGTCAAACTGGCCATGGGAGATTTGCATTTTAGAGCCAAAAGCCAGGGTGCAGGAAGGCCAGTTTTGGAAGCTCCACCCTTCTTGCCTGTGAACTGCAGAGCTTATGTGCCGTGACCACCCCCCGCCCCCACCACAGGCACCTGGGTCAGCGTCGTGTTCCTCACGGCTCCTTCATTGCAGTCACCTCTGGCGTGCCTGCCACTGGGTTCTGGGCACAGCAGCTTCTTGATAGTAAACATGTGTGGAGTGAATGTTGTTTGGATTCAGCTTTCTAATTGTGGCGTTCACTCAACATTGTTATATCCCAGTAAATGGGTGCTGTGTTTTAATTTTAATAATCCATAGAGCACCCCTAAGACTCACCAGCAAATTTTGACTCTGTGTGTGGAGAGCTCTCCTTGACCTTGGGTCTGGCTTCTTTGTACCTGGCCGGCAGGCCTGCTCCCAGCTGCATGCAGGCTGGGCTGCACTCCTGGGCCTTTTGGCACAGCCCAGGAGTCAGGCACCCTGCCACAGCGCTGCTCCCTGGGCGGGCAGCCCTGCCCTGTTCTAGTTCCTCCTTTACTAGCAGATTGGAGGTTTAACATTGAAGCTTATGAAAGAGCCAACGCCTAGTCTATCTACATTTGATATTCTGGGTGGTCTGGCTAGGTGACTTTGAGATTATCAAGGTAGCCTCTCCTATTTCTGAAGCATTATAGAATGAACATGATTTCTAGAATTAAACTATTTCATTAGATGTCAGTTCCATCATTTATCAGCTGTGTGACCTGGGGCAAGTTAGTTGACTTTTCTCACCCTCAGTGTCTCTTTAAAATGAGGCTTTTCATAACGCCTGCCTTGCACGATTTTGTAAAGATTGAGTTAACGTATGGCAAATGCTTAGAAAACGGTGTTAGCGATTTCTACTACTACTTTTAAAATGACTATGATCAACATTAACAGCATCTCTTCTGAATATTATTTTTGACATTTTGTCCTAAGTCTTCTTTCTTTGATGCAGTGGTCACATTGAATCAAATTCTAGCTTAAATTACCTGATAATTTGATGGAATTTATGATTTTTTTTTTCTGCTCCAGAAATGATGCACATAGATTTGGTGTCCGTTGCTTGATACCTGGGAAGACACTTGCCATGTGTAAGAATTAAGCATGATTGCTTGAGAAAGGCGATCTGTCATTTAGAGAGAAATGATACTTTTTAAAAAAATTTTTAAAAAAGATTTATTTATTTATGCATACAGAACTGGGGTACAGGCCAGAGGTGCAGGGGTGGTGAGAGGATTCACCAGAGACAGAGTGGGGAGCAGAACTTGCAGATCGACGAAGTCACTGCTGAGGGGTGCAGCCGGCGGGTCAGGAGAGGTCTGCCGCGCCATATGGGTCGGGTCACCTCTGGGGCCAGGATCGAACTCATGCTAAAGTGGTTTTAGCTTCTTAGTGCTGTGCTTTAACCCGCGCCACCAGGGAGGGCCGGAGAAACGATACTTTTTTTTTTTTTAAAGATTTTATTTATTTATTCATACAGAACTGGGGTACAGGCCAGAGATGCGGAGGGTGAGAGGATTCACCTGAGATAGAGGGGGGAGCAGAACAGACAGATCAACGAAGTACACTGCTGAGGGGAGCAGCGGGCGGGTCAGTAGAGGTCTGCCACGCCATGTGGTCACCTCCGGGGCAGGCGGGGATCCAGCTCATACAGAAGTGGCTTTAGCTTCTTAGTGCTGTGTTTTAACCCGCGCCACCAAGGAGGGCGGGAGAAACAATACTTTTAAAGTCAAATGGGGCAGCATCCTTAGCAGCGGTGTTTCCTTCCACCCTAGAAGGGCTAAGTTACCTCATTGACCAGCAAGCTGTCATGGTGGAGCCTTAGCTGTGGACCGACTGCCTAATGGGCCGCAGAGCCGGTCTGAGTCTGGGAAGAGCATTGTTTCCTTTGGAGCTGAACTTGCTCCTTGCATTTCAGGAAAGTAGACTGCCTCCACTGGTGTCTCTTTTAAGTAACAAGTTCCGTATTTTTCTTTTTCTCCCGCATCAGCCCTGTGACCCCCAGCACACCTGGGAGCCCACCTGTGAGTCCCGGGCCCTTGTCGCCAGGGGGCACTCCAGGGAGGCACATCTGTGGCCACCACCTGCACACAGTGGGTGGCGCTGTGGAGAGGGATGTGTGCAATCGGTGTAGGCACAAGCGCTGGCACTTCAAACCCGCCGTCAAGTCCAAAGATGGCCGCCCCAGGCGCCAAGGGGAAGTGACCGTCCTCTCTGTCGGCAGGTAAGATCCCTGCGGTGTGTGGCTTTGTACTAACCCGTTATGTACAGCGTTTATTTTCCTATGTGTGGCTCAAGTCAGATCTCTGGCCCTCTTTGGTGTTTTCTGGACCTGCGTTTTCCCAACAGCAGAAGAAATCTAAGAACAGCTAATACTAGATCAGATGTGTGTGTAAGTTAAGGTAAAAACTGATTACTTACCTGCAGTAGGGGTCTCCAAAGAGGAGCTTCATGATAGGCTGAGAAGTCCATGATTTGCATCTCTGAGCTCGAGGACTGGGCATGCGGTGGGGTAACTCAGTCCAAGTCTGGCAGTCTCAGAACAAGAACTGTGGTATCTGGGGGCAGGAGAAGACAGTTGTCTCAGCTCAAGCAAACAGAGCATGTTGGTCTTCCTCTGCCTTTTTGTTCTCAAGAGGTTGGATAATACTCACTGGCCTGGGGAGGGAATCTTCTGTACCCAGCCAGTAAAGCAAGTGTGAATCCTTTGGAAATACACCCACCAAAACAGAAATCATGGAACTAACTATCTGGGCATCCTGTACCCCAGTCAAATAGATACAAAATTAGCCATCACATTTGTGCCGATAAAGCCCAAGTCTCAACCTTATAGAGTGAGAGTTTAAATTGCACTTTGGAAATGCAAAGCAGGTGACTCATGTTCTCATCCAGAGTCTCAGGCTCTTTCTAGCTGTGGCTCTGCCAGATTTGCTAGAGAAGCACCCAGGGACATTTCTGATGAGAGGATTTGGATGAGACAGTCATGGGAGTGCCGTGTTTCATTGGCACTCGCATTCCACTAGCTAGACCTCAGTCACTTGCCACACCTACATGCCAGGTTGTGTGCAAATGTCTGACCACGTGCTAGAAAGCAGAGAAACGATGAGCTGGCCGGTCCGTGCCACCTAAGTCTGTGTGGGTTCCTGTGACCGCTTTCCTTTCCTCCACCTCCCTGAGCCTCAGTCCCTTGTCCTTCCACTTACTGGTGACATGTGACAGGGACATCTTGCAGTTCAAGTGATGAGCTGGACTCATCAGGAACTGCTTTGGCAGCGTCTGCTGTTTTGATTGTGAGCCTCATACAGGAGCTGCGCTGTGAATGCCACATTGGAAGGGCTGTAGAGAGGAATGCATGAGGGCATATGTGCTGAAGCCATAGTGGGGAGCACTGGGGGGAAGTTGGCAGTACTGTGCACGATCTTTCTCTGCTGACAAACTCTAAGCAGAGTTGCTTGACCTCATAACATCTCCCTCCCTCCAGTCCTGGCGCCATTACTGACAACCAGATTTCTTCCCATGCCTCTTTTTCTCCCCTCTCTAAAGTGAGGATAACAACATTTGCCTCCTTGGGGTGAGGATGGGTTGCTGTGAAGACTAAATATGGTAACGCACTTGAAAGCCTTAGGCCAGTTTTGGGCACCTTTGCATTTGAAAAATGTTGGCTGTTATCATGATCGGTATTTTAATTTGGTTGCGGTTCATCATCTGTTGCGCAAGCAGTGAGAAGACTGCAGGGCTGTTTGCCACTTACAGCAAAACAGGGCAGCCCATGACCACACTGTTTTATTAAGAAGCAGAGTCACGGGAATTTATGAATGTTGAATGTAATGAGAACCCGTAGCTTGTTAGGACAAAGCGTATTTTGTTTGCTTTAAAAAAATGTGCTGGAATTTTCAACTCAGATTCAACGTGGCTTTTTTAAATGCACAAGTCCAGCTCTCTCTTGGATGTGACTACTGTGAGCATTTGATCACTACGGCCAATTGTTCAGGGTGCACTGCTTACAGAGAGCCTTACCCGTGGGGCAGAACAGAGTTACCTGATCCTTCTCTCGCTTCCTCAGGTTGGGAAGTCTCATGTTGGACTAAGGAGCAGCATCTATTTTAGAGAGTTGAAGGGAAATTAAGACCAGAGCTGGAGAAAAGCCTTTAGGAAAAGCCTTCAGGGACTTGATGAGGTACTGGCAGAAGTCAAACTGAGAGAAATTGTCTTAACTTCCCTCTTAACTCTTAATGAAAACGTCTTTCCTTAACATTTCCCTTACTCCTTCATGAAAATGAGCCTGATTTTGCTTTTAAGAAAACAAAACAGATAAAAATCAGACACAAAAAACAACTGCCAATTGCTACTGATAAGTATGTCTTGGGGTTCACAGGCATGTGAGCGTGTGTGTGTGTGTGTGTGCGCGTGCGCGCGCATCAGACTCCTGGGAGTGAACTGTAGTTAAATGCTTTCCCTGGTGATGTCAGCCTAATTTGCAAGCTTTTATCTAGCCACCTGTGGTTAAAAAACTGCAGCTAAAGCCCAGTGACCATTAGAAACCACAACTCGATGGCTGTTTATTCTTTGAATGCCTCTGCTCTTTAATGTGTCTCCCGTGCCTGGAAAACAACCTGCAGGGTGTGATCTGTGGGGCAGGGCCAGCTGGAAAGCTGGACAGGGGTGTTTGCTGCATGGAATGTCCCTCCTGGGGCACATGGTATTTTCAGGGCTCTTCTAATTGTTGGCAGATTTTACTTGGGATCCTCTAGATGGATGACTTTTGAATCACTCATCGTTTTTGTTTACCGGAAAAATAAAACTCCCTGCATCTCCTTTGCCCTCAGGTTTAGGGTTACAAAAGTAGAACACAAGTCCAATCAGAAGGAACGGAGAAGCTTGATGTCCGTGAGTGGGACTGAAGGCATCAACGGGGAGCTGCCTGTGACCCCTGTGAAGAGAGAACGAAGTGACACGGAGTAGCGGGTGAGTTGTAGTTTTGGTGGCCTTGGGGGTGAGGCGGCGCCTGGTGTGGAGAAGTTAACTGTGAACTTCCCTGATTCTTGTGGTAGGAGAGCAGTTGTATTTGGCAGGAAAATGGAATGCTATCTGCCAACTGATAGAAGTGTAGGTGGTTGAACAAGACACATTGTGCAAAGCTCTTGTCAAGAGGCCACATACTTGGGTGTCTCCAGAGATGTGGAAAGATTGCTGATGGCCACTGCGGAGCGGTGGGGATTGTGGCAAACTAGAAATCACTTTCCCCACCTATTGGGCTTACACTAAATGCAGAAAACACTTAGTTTTGCTCGACTTGTGCCCCAGAGTGTAGATATTTATACTTTTAATGTAAAGTTAATACAGGCTTAACAACTTTGGCAGCTTTTTAAATTTCCTTAAAAAAGGCCAAGTGGAATAAAATTTTGTTGTCATTTCTAGGTAAACTATTTTGAAAAAAAAAAAGTGCTTTTTCCTATAATTGAGTTGGAAACCAGCTCTTTTTGATGTGCCCCTTTTCTAAAACATCTCCTGTAGGGAGAGTCCTCCTGTCAAATACTTTGAAGCAATTTAGAAAGCAAAAATGAATGCTCCTTGGTATGGCCATTTTAACTAGCAAGATAATGCTTTAAAGAAAAAGTCTACAATAGCTTGATTTTAGCTTTGCTTTCATCTTATTCTTTTCTTTTTGTTGGGCTCACGTAGCACTTACCGCTTTCAAGCTCCTTATTTCGTATAAAATGGCGAATATGAGGACCCAGGAGAAATCATGCTCCTAATTCCAATGGAACCTTGCTAGGAGGTTCCATTCAGAAAGGGGCCTGGGGGTGGACTGCTGGTGTGCTCGGAGGCCCAGGGAAAGGGCGGGCCCTGGAGGCGTGAAGCCAGGTTCAAATCAGGGCTTGTATGCACTAGCATTGGCCAAGGCAAATACTTTAGCTACTCTGATGATCCTCCAGCTCAGAGAGGTGGAGAATATTCTGCAAGAGTTGTGCTCTTGAATTCTATAAGACATATGGGCTGTGTTGGCTTCCTGGAGCTAGTTCTTGTAGCCTTGTCTTTAGGGAGATCTGGCCCCTTTTTCTGAGCGTAGGAGCTGAGGGGTGCTTTCTTTAAAGAAGAGAAACAGCAGAAAAGTCTGTCTTTGGCTTCTCGGCCACTGGTGCCTTCGGGAAGGGAACTAAGAGGAATTTAGGAAAAGGAAAAAGATGATAAATAGGAAAAACAGTTTATGTTAACTCATGCTCATCTTCTGCACACTGTTCATGCTCATCTTTTGCACCTCTCAAGTCACCACTATATATACTCCTGGCAAGGTTGAAACTATGCTCCCAGTTCTATAGATGAGCAAACTCATGAATGGAAAGGTTAGGAACATGTTGAGGGTTGCATAACTGGAAAGGGGAGCTGAGTTGAATCTAAGTCTTTCCCAGCAATGTCCTAGTACCTTGGGCCCTGTGGCTGTCGTCTTTTACATGGTAGCTGTCACCATTCTGCGACTAACACATTTAAATCAATGAAAGACCTAATTTTGCAATTTGTCAAGTGTTTACCAACCTCTGTACTAGGGTCCGTCATGTGGATATCACAGATGCAGCACATGTCCACGCTTGCAGAAAGTTACTAAATAGTGCAGAGAATACTTTAGCTGTTAGAACTGGAATCCTGCCTGATTTGGTAAATCAGAGAAGTATTCTGCTGAAAGCCGTGAGGTCTTGCCTCTCTGGGAAGAGAAGTATCTGACTACTCCAATCTGAGGTGTGGGAAGGTTGTGAAGAGTTCAGCTGCAAAGAGAGTATGAGTCACAGAAACAAAGAGATTGATGAAAACTAGGCAAAACAACAGCAAACTCTTGGACGCAGAAAGCAGATTGGGGGCAAGGCATTGGGGGTGCGTAAAAAGGTAGTGGGGTCAATTATGCATGGGTGGGTGGAAACAAGATTTTTGTTGGTGAGCATGAGGTAGTTTTTTTTTTTTTTTTAAAGATTTATTTATTTGTGCATACAGAACTGAGGTACAGGCCAGAGGCGGAGGGACGGTGAGAGGATTCACCAGAGACAAGAGTGGGGAGCAGAACAGGCAGATCGACAAAGTACACTGCTGAGGGGAGCAGCGGGTGGGTCAGGAGAGGTCTGCCGCGCCATGTGGTCTCCTCCGGGGCAGGTGGGGATTGAACTCATGCGGAAGTGGCTTTAGCTTCTCAGTGCTATGCTTTAACCTGCTGTGCCACCAGGGAGGGCCGCATGAGGTAGTGTTTACAGATGTTGAATGACAATGCTGTACATCTATAATTATGTAATGTCATATAAGCCAATGTTTCTCAAATAAAACTATGACTCCCCCGCCCCCACCCCCAGAAAGCAAGGTTTTGTGACAGAGAACTTAAAGTGTGGCCAGGGAAACTGCAAAAATAGGTCTTTAGCTGATTTAAATGTGTTAGCCACAGAATGATGATAGCTACCATGTAAAAGACAACAACCCCAGGATACAAGGTACTAGAACATTGCTGGAAAAGACTTAGATTCAACTTTGATCACTGTTGCTCAGAGAGGTACTCAAGATTTGGGAAGGTTCAAAGAATTAGGAGTCTGGACTAATTTTGTGACTATTAGAGTATGCCCGAGGTACCTGAAGTTCCCGCCACATTTCTCTGGCTTAACCTTGATATTCCTTGCAAAGCACACTGTCATCAAATGGAGTTTATAAAAGTACCCAAGATCTGGTCAGAAGATATGGCTCACACATGACTCACCAGTGAGAAACTGTACTTTACTACCGTCTTTCCATCCTTGACTGTGAAATGGGTATTAAGTTCATTGATCTAAGAAAGTGGCAAGAGATTACCCAGCATGCAGCCGACCTCAAGAGGTTAGTTATAGTGTGTTGTGCTGTCTACATCAGCACTAAGCAGGAGTGACCTGACACAGGGAATGTACTTTGCAACTAAATATTTGAATATTTGTAATATTTGAAACTAAAATTTTTACTATGGAAGTTTTTAGGGGGCCTCCCTGGTGGCACAAGGGGTTAAGTCTCAGCACTATGAAGCTTTCACCAGCCACTGTGACACGAGTTCAATCCCCAGCCAGGAAGCTGACCCTCAGGGCTCAGCAGACCTCTCCTGGCCCACCTGCTGCTCCCCTCAACAGTGTATTTCAGTGGATCTGCCTGAATCCTCTTACCACACTTCTGGCCTACACTAATTAAATACATCTTAAAAAAAATTTGACTATGGAAATTTTTAAACAAATTTAAAAATAGACTAATAGCTTGATTGCCATAGAGTCTTTTAATTATAGCTGTTCCTGCAGCTCTTACGCTGTCCTGGTGTGTTTTGAAAGACTCATTCCAGGTCATTAAAGTATTTAACCCTCACAGCTGCAGTAAGAAGGTTCTAGAAAGCACCCCATTTTGCAGGTGAAGGTTTTTAAACCCAGAGTTTAAGCATCTTGTTTAGAATTATCATAAGAATGTGAGGAAGCCCCCCCCCCCACCGTGGCACAGTGGTTTTGGGTTTTGAGCACCCCACTGCGAAGCTGAGCCAAGCTGTGCCCTGAGGTGTGACCCACATGCCGTAGCAGACCTCTCCTGACCCGCCTGCTGCTCCCCTCAGTAGTGCACTTCATTGATCTGCCTGTTTTGCTCCCCACTCTGACTCGATGAATCCTCTCACCACCCCTGCACCTCTGGCTTGTACCCCAGTTCTGTATGCACAAATAAATACTTTAAAAAATAAAAGCATGTGAGGGAGCTTATAAAGTCCACTCCAGGTATCTGAGGTCAGACACCGCCCAACTGGGTTGAGGAAAGCAGGTCCCATCACCAGAACCAGCTCCAGTTGAGGCCTGTTGCCTGGTGATGTCGCATTATCCAACACAGGATGGAAAAGGAGGGAAGGGAACACTCACTGGCATTTAAAAAAAAAGTATATATTCATTGAAATGTTTCTAGCTACACTTCTTAGATGACTCCTCCCCCCAAAGTGAATGTTTAGGGTATTTAACAGGACTTGGTTTCTACTGAGAGAAAATTCCTGATATTTCTCCTTCTTGGTCCAAATCTCTGGCTCTGGACTGAATTGGAGGTTTGCCCTAGAATGTAGCTACCAAAGTAGCAAAGGAATATCATGTATTGTTGAGACAATCTAATGCAATCTTTGAGATGTGCCTCTTTTCCTAATACGTTTAGATTTGGAGGTTGAAGTATTTTTATATTATAAATTCTTTGATTATTAAAATATTTTAAATTTTTTTACGTCATTCTTCATTTTGTGCCTTTTCCCATCTCAGTTGTAATCCCCATGGGCCTCCCACCACCAATTCCCCCATGTGCCATCATCTTCCCACCCCAGTTCCCATCCCATTCCCCCGCCACCCCCAAGTCTCCGGCTTCTAGTTGTTCATTGTTTGCATTTTTACTCTATTACATTTGTTTGTCTCTCTCTCTCGCTTTCATTAGTGTCTCATATTACTGTAGAATATATCCAAATAATCAAATGCGTGGCTACTCTCTGGTGAGGTTTCCTTATTTTGAATTAGGTGGTGGGCTATTCTAACTAGAGTGGTATCAAAGCTGCTTCAGAATTTCTCACTGTTGCTATCTTTTTCTTTTAAAAAAACAAGTCCTGCTGTTTGACATCTCCTCCCCTTTCTCTTTTCTCTCTGTCCCTTGGCCTGAGTTCTTTTCTGAAGCTTGATCTAACTTGCTGTCTCCCAGATTTATTTTGGCAATGCAGTTAAAATGGATTCTTTTTTCCACAGAAAATGTGTTTTGATTTCTTCTTAGAAGAATAAGCTTTTGTTCTTCAAAGTTAAATAAATCAAATTGCTTTCAGCCTTCAAATGCCACTGCTTTGTCTTCGTTATCACTGGTCTTTTGCTTTTTAAAAATGATACTGCCACAGACATGCCGTATCACGCATCTCTGCAGTCTGCTTTCCTTTTTTCCGATTTATGGTAGTATCTTATCAAACACTGATTTGGTGAGCTCACATAACAGTATTTTTTATCAACACAAGAACATCCTTTTATTTAAAATTATTATTGACACAGTGATTAAAAGCTGAGTTTTAAACTCTTAGGTTTAATTTTAACTGTGCCACTAGCCACCAATAATTTTAGGCAAGTTAGTTAGCCCTTTTTAGCCTCAGATTATTCGTCTTGAAAATGGTGTTGTTGCTGGGCTTCGGTGGTGTAGTGAACATGTCGATATAATTCTTCAGCCATGCTCAGCAGCCAGCAGTCACTATTCACTGCTATTGACCATTTTTGCTCATCTCCAGGGGTCTTTGTTGGTCATTAGCCCACTTCTCAGTTATCAAATGTAGGGTCTGTGAATCGCTATTTACTTAAGAACATCAGAGTTTTGCCGGCAAAGGCAAACATGGTCTGATTTCACCCAGGTAAGGTATAGAGAAATAAACCAACAGATGAACTAAACAGAGAAAAATTAATTTTCTACTGTAAGATCAATCCGTAGTTACCAAAAGGGAAGAGGATGGATGGGTTAAGTTCAGAGCATGACATGGCAAGGGGCTTGGGGTTTGGTGGTGAAGTGGATGGAGAGGCCCATGGCTCATTCATACACAACGGACACTTACATGATATTATAATGCAGATACTTCGAACAAACAAACAAAAAACAGAAGAGCTTTGGATTCTAACGACATCTCAGAGATAGATATTTGCCAGCTCTTAGGGATGTGGGCCATTTTCTTGTTTGTGTTCAGATGGCCTTAGTTCCTCTTACTGGAGGCAGGCTCAGAATTAGCAGGAAGGCCACTGGAAACTCTTGTTGAATTAAGTTCTTTTCATTATGAAGAGTGTGACATGGGTTAGGCTGGGAGGTAGAGTGCATGAGCATAGTTCTGCACTGGACGGGGCTCCCCCTGCAGGACGGGGCTCCCCCTGCCTGACGGGGCTACCTCTGCAGGACGGGGCTCCCCCTGCAGGACGGGGCTACCCCTGCCAGAGGGGGCTACCCCTGCCGGACGGGGCTACCCCTGCCGGATAGGGCTACCTCTGCCAGACGGGGCTACCTCTGCAGGAGGAGCCCTGTCCTGCAGAGGTAGCCCCGTCCTGTAGAGGTAGCCCTGTCCTGCAGAGGACTTCTGGGTGACTCACGGGGCCTTGGGAAAGTTGGGCTCATGAATCTAGGGTGTTTAACCTGGCAGCGCCTGGTGCAGAGAGGGCCCTCTCTAAATGTCAGAGCTCTCCTTGGTCGGCCTTTTCCTTCCGTAACCCGCTTGCCCTTTCAGGGCTTAGTATTCACTGTGCATTCATCTGTGTAGACCTCTAGTATTGGCAAACATGTCTCAATTTTTAAAAGGACCAGATTCTTTTTCCTAGAGAATCTTTTTTAACAAGATGTCCAAATCAAAGACCATCCTCACTTCTGTGACCTGTGACATCATAATGGAACGACAGCTTTGTGGTTAGAATTGTGTAGTGAGCAATATCCTGTAAGGAAAAAGGTGACTCTAGAGAGTTCTTTTATTTTTGAGGTTCTCAGTATCTCTCCATCTGTCATGGGATTTCCGAATTATCTTCTCAATGTAAGGGAGTCTTGTTTACTTTTTTAAGCTTAAGCTTACACATGTGTAAAACTGTCCTCAGCAAGCTTTCCAGAAGTGAGAGGCGAGGCTTGGTAGATGATGTGGGGTGCTTGATGGCAGGAATGGAGAGCCATAGGGGTGTGGAGTGTTTGCTCCCCTTGTTCTACCCCTTCTAGAGTTTCTTAGCACACTTGCCAGCTCACAAGTGGCTTTAACCTTAATGTGCTGTTGTGAAGAATGACTGTTCGAAAGTCGGTGTGTATAGACATGGGTACATTCCAAATGTAGGTTGAAATGGGAAGAAAGTTAATTAGCGTGGTAGAAATGCACCATGACACAGTTCCAGAAAGAGGGGCACAGGTGGAAATTTCCTAGTCTATAGGGCCTGCGGTGTCTTCTTTCCCCCAGATTGTCATTTCGATTAGACAGATATCTACCTGGACCTCTAGAATGGCTGGGCTGGGTGAGGGGTGCATTTCAGTAAGTGTGTGTTGGTGCAGAGGGAGAGGCCAGAACTGCAAGTCAGTGCTGGTAGCTTTTAATAGAACTTTAAAGAAGATTAGCTTTAGTTTCTCTGCCCAGTTTCTGGCATCAGTAGTGAGTTAGGAAACAATTTGTATTTTTACCTCCTCAAAGGAGTATATTATGTAGGTTTTGTTAGCTGTAGGAAGCAGTATCGCAGAAAGCCAATGTGATTGTGTAGAGCAGAAATTGGGTGACACCCATCATAGCTAGCCTGTGGGAATATACAAAGTGCTTGACCTTAGATTAAGCTATGAACGGGGCTCATTGTATGACCCCCAACAATCCTATGACTGATTGAGTGCTACAGAAAGGGCCGAGATTCAACAGCTGGCGAAGAGGGGTCTGGACTTGAAGACAGATCTCTGGCCCCAGATTCCTCATGTGTAACTCAGCCTTCAGTCTGTGGGCCTGTTCCACAAAGTCGGTCAAGTTTGTGCAAGGAACTCAAAATGGAAAGTTCCCCTATCAGTTGGGGTAAAATGCATACTGTGATGACACATTACATGCTGGACCTGGCATCTATGCCCTTAAAAGAATGGAGTATTTTCCTTGCTACCAAAAAAAGAAAAAAAAAATCTAGTCTAAGGGAGCAGGTAACAAAAAGAGGAGACATAAAAGTAGTTGCCTATTTTCTAGATGGCCTACTTTGAAGTTTTACTGGAAATCTTCTTTTACTTTTTTTCCCCATGTAGGGCCATTTTTGTATTTTTCCACCTCTGTACCTATGTACCTTTCTTTCTATTCCCAAGCTAGTATCTTCCGTATCAATCAGCTCTCAAATGAAAGTATTCCTCATTTATATAAAAAAGTTACACGCCATTTTCAACACATGCTTTTTACTTGTTTACGTTACCTAATAAGAATTCTTACACATTCCCCAAAGCAACTGGACTTGTCTTTGATCAGTTTTACATACAGATCAAATCTATAGTTCAGCAGATTGATGCAATACAGTCAGGAAATTACTCATTTCATAATTAATAATTCTATAAGGGAAGAATGTTCTATTTTCTTTTTAACTAAGGGATAAGGGCATTTTACTCCATCTTCTAATCACTATGACTATGATAAATGACAGTGACAGCAAAGGATGATATGAATACATTAGATAATATACAGAAAAGGTTGAAAACATTAGACCATATATCTTGAAGGATACAATGTAAAATAAAAAGGGTAAAAGATAAATATACAAAATAGAAAGACATAGCAGTCAATAAAAATGACTCCTATTTACTTTTTGCTGTTTCCTTATCTTTCTGCAAGTTGGTTTCACCTCTTATTTTTGTTGAGCAGTATAAGTCAGCACAATTTTGACAGAAAAGAGAATGTTGTGCTCTTAACCTGGGGTAGGTTGTGTTCTGCCTGCCTGGTGTGTTTGTTTTAGCATACACAGGTGTCTCTAGAATGTCCTGAGTTATCCCAATCTTTAAAAAAGGAAGGGCCACCACATAGATGAGACAATTGTTAAAAAAACAACTAGCCAGGGCCCTCCTTGGTGGCACAATGGGTTAAAGCACAGCACTACAGAACTACCACAGCCACTACAGCACAAGTTCGATCCCCAACCAGGGAGGTGACCCACATGGCGTGGCAGACCTCTCCTGTCTCACCTGCTGCCCGCTTCAGCAGGGTATTTTAGTCCATCTGCCTGTTCTGCTCCCCACTCTGTCTCAGGTGAATCCTTTCACCCCCGCATCTCTAACCTGTACCCCAGTTCTGTATGTATAAATAAATAAATCTTCAAAAAAAAAAAAAACAACCAACCACTTCACTCTTTGAAATGTAGAAAACTAGATCACACGTTTGAAAGGTGCTTTCTACAAGGAACTGTGGGGATGGTTCACGGGTGATGTGGTGATGGGAGATTGACAGGGACTATGCCTGAGGGGAGGAATCAAATACTGTACAAAAATGAACAATATAAGAAAATAAGTCTCATCGATTAAATAAATAAATAAGTAAAAGGAGCCTCCTTTGTAATGAAAGTGTCGGGGCCATGTAACTCAGGGGGTACAGTGAGGCCCTATGACCACGGGCCTCATCACCCTGTCCCTCCGCACCTGCCCAGTGAAATCCCAGCCAAGCTATCCTTTGTGCTGTAGACACAGTGAACTATATTAGGCGTGACTGGAAAAGACTCCGCACCTGACACATTCGGAGTTCCTCATCCCAACACGTTTGTCCTGCTGCTTGTTGCTTGCAGGATGTGGCCGAGGAGTCGAAGAACACGTCCCTGAGCGTGAGGGGCCTCTGTCCCTGGAGAAGCCCTGCCAGGCACCTTAGACCTAGGTTCAAACAGAGCAACACACTCAGCCTGCTGGGGTCCTCTGTGCTGGCAAAGCTTCAGGAAGCTTCGTGGGTAAAAAGCTGACCGTGTGTACCGCTCAACCTTTTTTTGTTCTCTCTTGCAGGAGTGACTGTATTTGAAGAGTTACAAGAGATTGAAACCTTACGACATATGAAGTGGCCTAGGGAATATTTTTTTATCTTTTGTACAGTTTCTGTCATGGAATCTGCTGTCACGTGAATAAAAGCTGAAAGGGAATAAATACTGTGCTCTGCTAGCTAAGGATGCAGTTTACTTTGAAACAGTTTTGATTTCAAAAGTCTGATAAAAAAATGACTACATTTCCAGGGAAGGAAAGAGCTCAGTGTTCGAAATCTCCTCGCCGACCTCGCCGCCGGCCTCGGAGTCCACACCGTAGAGCTTTCCCAGTGTTCTCGCCGTGTTCGTGAAACTCTCTGTGCACAGCCTCGCTGAGGCTGTGTCTGTGTGTACACACTTGTCTCCCCAAACCTACATTCCATTTTGCTACTGGTTGTAAGAAGTCACCTTATAGTTCAACTGTTACAAAAGATAAAGGCGACTTCCAAAAAACCCTCCAAAAACCAGAGATAACTCTTCAGTGGTGAAATCCCCTTGAGGATAATCTGGTCTAGACCTGAGAGATTGATTTCCCTGTGACCCCTGGATCATGAAGTCAGATGGAACCAGGTACTAGACTTTGGACCCAAAGGCCAAAATTCAACATTAATTCCTGCTACCACCCTCTCATCCCCCGATCACTTAAAAATTGAGGGTTTTTTTTTAACCCAAACTAAGCAGTTCTTATTTAGTTGTTCAATGAAGGGAAAAATGTCCTAAAATAAAATGTTTTGGCAACCCAAGGAAAAAACAAAGCCCAAAATTCTCCTTCTTGGTGCAACATGGGACTGTACTTCTGGTATTTTCTTTGGGGGTACTTCCTGTTTTCCACCTTGTAATTAATACTTTTTATATGACATTTGCCGGTTTCTTTCCCCTGTAGAGCTGGAAAGCCCCTCTTCTCCCCGAGCCTTACAGTTTATGAAACACCTGTAAAGAACCCAGAGGCAAAGATAGATTTCTAGAGGTCTGGGCTGAGGGAAGGGGGGTCCAGTTCCAGGGGACTCTGGGGAATTGCCTGTGTCAGTGCTGGCTGGTGATGGGGTACTTGTAGTTCAGAGAAAAAGCACATTTTTCATATGGCTCCATAAAGGTGATTTTTATAAATATGTACCTCAAAGTATTCCCTGTAAATATCTTCATTCCATTCTGTTTCTGGCATCAAACTAAACAGTTCTAACCTTTTAGAGGAAGGGTAGGTTTAATTTCATGTGAATTTTTACTGATAACAAAGTGAAAGGTCTGTATATATGCATGTATGTATACGTGTGTGTATATGTGTGTACATATACATACACGTACATACACACACTACACTTGAGGAAGTCAGTATCAAAACCAATTTTCAGGTCCAGAAAGTAGCAACTTAGGAGTTTTGGGGTATGTATTATTGTAAATAATATATGCATGGTTTAGGCCAATAAGTTTTTTTTGTTTGTTTTTAAAGCATTTTTGCTTTAAAAATATTATGCCCTCAAAATGGTGAGGGATGAAGTGTAAGATATTCTTCAGCTTTAATTATTTTTCAATGTTATTCAGGTTAGAGAACTTTTTTTTTTTAAACAGCAATACAACAGGCAAGAGAATACTCAAAAAATATTTAAAATTGTATTTATACCAAGAGTACATTTTAAATATTTTCTAATACTTGAGCAGTTTTTGTCTGGCTGGCTTCAAATATGCCAAAAGTCAAACATTGAATATTTTCAACACATAAGCTTTTTACTGGTTATATTATCTAAAAAGATTCGTAAGTGTTCCCAAAGCATCTGTTTACACGCCTGGTGTTTCCCTCCTTCCTCGAAGGATAGGGGAGCGCAGTTAGGCTAAAAAACACTATCATGGAGCTCTGGGGTAATTACTGAGTCGGACACCACCTTGATGTAAAAATTTGTAAAGGGAAATTTTTCACCATTTCGAGTGTCAAATGTATTTTTAACTGTCTGGTTTGTACTTTCATGCCTTTTGTACTACCAAAGCAGAGTTAAAAATAAAAATGTTAAACACAGAATGTTGTTTTGAAATAGTCAAATGGTTGTTGTGCCAAAGGAGGCCAGAGCCCAGCGTTTACATAAGCTCCAGGAAAGCCCTGCTCCCCAGACCCCCCCAGGTACCCCTGTTCCCCATGCTTTGGGGGTGCTCATGGGATCCCCTTCTGACACAGTCACTGGTCTTGGTCCCAGCTCCTTCTTTCCTTCCTACCCTGGTTGAAATGTTTAAAATCTCCATACTGTCAACTTCACTCTGTGGTTCCTCACTGTTCTTGGACTTTGAATTTTTGTTAGTTTTCTTTGCCTCGAAAACAAGAGAGTCGGTAACATCTTATGCCAGGTAGGTGAAAAAGTTCATTATATCACTTTCAGCTCAAAAAAGCCAAGAAACCGGAATCTATGCACCACCGAGGAGTTAAAGATTCCCACAACCCCCCTCATTTCATGGTGAACAAGGGTGACTGGAGTGACCCGTGTCCTTCCTAGTCTGAGTCTCCCAGAGACGGTCACTGGTGCAGGGCAGCCCGGAACTCCGGCCTTGCAGCGCCAGCTGGACGCTAGGCCAGCTCCGCACGGGCAGGTGAATTTGCCAGGGCCCGCTGCGCCTGTACCTGCCTGCCTACCTGGGGTGGAGGCCTCTTCCCCCACCTGGCAGTGAAAGGTGGGGAGCCCCTTCCTCCTGTCCGCAGAGGCCGGAGAATTCGGGAGCTTGGAAGTGGGCTCCTAAGACAAAGGATTGCTCACCTGGGGCTTGGTGGAGGCCAAAGGGTTTGGGGGGGGCGTCCCAGCACGCACCCTTGACCGCCAAAGGGTTTGGAGGCGCCTCTGTGCACACCCTTGACTGATGGCCCGGGGGCTGGTGATTTTTCCTAAGCCTGCTCTGGTTCTTTCCTCATCTGCCCGGGGCTGTTTTCCAAACTGGCATGGGCAACAGGTAGCAGGGCGCAGAGCCCCGGGGCCAGAAAGCTGGAAGCAACCAAGCCCCCCAGGTCCCCGCAAATCTTGACTCTTTCTCTAGGCTCTCTGGCATCCTGTCAGGCCTCACCTCTCCTGCAGCCGCTCCTCCTGTAGCAGTCCTGTCGCTGAGTGATGCCACTCTTATTAGAGTTTACCCTGGCTTCTAGGCACAGGTGTGCACAATCACGCATGCCCAGACCCATGCTCCGGTGTGCACGCTCAGGCCCGCGTGCGCCACACCCACACGCCTTCTGCAAGAACAAGATCCAGGCCCAGCTGATAGCCACAAAGGCTAGTGGCATCAACGCCTGATTAATTCCATTTACCCCACACAGCTTATTCTCAGATCTCACCTTGGGCCTCTCATCGCAGCTCCAAATGCCTGAAAGGCCAGCTGAGACATCTCTGGTCCAGCATTTGGTGGTGCGTGTCGCTGTCAGCCTGGTTTCACCCTTGTCCCCGTCAGCCTGCGGACGCCTTGCATAGAACGGCCTCTCGCCCCCTCTGCCGGCAGAGTGGGAGAACTGCAGGAAGTGGGACTTGCGGGCCATGGGCTGTGCCTAGCTTCTTCATTTAGGGCCTGGCTCCCAGAAAGTACAGTTTGTCGAATGAATAATAATAATAATAATAATAATGATGATGATGATGATGATGATAAACCTACCATTGAAAATGAATGAATATAATGAAATATTTTATGGGCATGAACATTTAATTTTAGGTTTTTCCTAGCCCATTTTCTGACCCTGCCAGTTCGTCTCTGTCATCTTTCTCAGCAGAAACCCGAGTTTCTTACCAAGGAGTAACTTTCTCTGCAGGTCTTAGCCTGGATGTTGGTAGGAATGATTCAGTTCCAGTCTGAAGCAGTCCTATGTGGGGGGCCTTTGTGGAAGTTCTGTGCCCACGAATAGCTGGGAGGTCCTGGAGAAGTAGCTCACTCAGCCTTTGAGAGTGAGTTAGTGAGTTTGAACCCAGGCTCTGCCACTTGCTGCTGTGATACTGTGAAAATTGCCTCATTTTTCTGAAACACAATTTTCTCATCTGTAAAACAACCTATTTCATAGTTTTTTAAAAAAGGATTTAACTATTAGCAAAATCCTCAAAGACTTTAAGGATTAGCAACATGCTTGCAAATTCAGGGTGCCTGTCGTGTTCTTGGTGAGAGGACGGTCACCCCGACAGAAGGCAGCACCATCATAAGCGGACACTAGGTAGCCCCTGAGATCCTAAAGGGTCTGTGGGCTTCTCACCCACTACCCGATCAGTGTGGCTTGAGCCACTCGAGTGGTCCACAACACAGCTTTGTCTCGGGAGAGCTGAAACACTGAGCTTCTTGCTCTGAGGCTAAACCACAGCTAGAGTTCAAAGACCCTCACAGAAGAGCCATGGAGTGGAGATGGGTACATCTTGAGGGGGCAGAAGTACAGAGCGAGAAAAAGAGCTGAAGACTAAGATGCAGTGAGCACGGGAGCCAGCTGAGGCGGCATCAACCCAGCATGTCTCTCACCTGGGAATCCTGCCCACGAGCATTCTTCTCCCTCCTGGACACCAGGCCTCCCCTGACTGCAGCAGGCCATAAGGCCTCTGCTCCAATGGATTCCCTCTCTGGGATGCTTGCTCACCCCAGCTGGAGAAGTGGTTGGTTTCTCTGGTGGCAAAAACCTTGTTTCCTGATGTGGAGCGAGTGGGTCACAGGAAAGGAAGGGAGTGGACTTGGGGGTGGGGGGGCAGAGAGGGGATTCTGGCTCTGGCCAGCCCTAGGCTCAGTTCTTCTTGAGACCCAACTGCCTTTCCATGAACATTCCAAGGACATGCCTTTTTGTCTCACCTAGTTTGGCCGGGCCTCTATCATTTACGGCACCAACACTAATCTTGTGATTACGGCAAGAATTCACACAGAGACACAGGTGAAGCTTGCAGTTACCTGGGGAGTGAGGCCCTGTGACCCAGCCCCCCACGGCAGTTACTCAGAGCCTCGGGTCTGGCCCTGGTGTGGTCTCTGCTCTGAAAGATCTTCCAAGCCCTTCCCCTTTATTGCCTTAGGGTGACCTCCCTGCCCCATCTTCCTTGCTTTGACACTGTGAACTCTTTATCACTGCACAGATCTTGCCTTTGGCCTTTGGCGGCTGATGTCGACAATATATATATATATGTTATGATTCATGTATTTTTTAATTTATGTGTACAGGAACTGGGGTACAGGCCAGGGTGTGGGGAGTGACAGGATTCACCAGAGACAGAGAGGGGAACAGAACAGGCAGCTCAACTGAAATACCCTGCCGAGGGGAGCTGAGGCAAGACAGGGGGTCAGCACCCTAGCCCAGGATGGAATACAGGCCGTTGTGGCTATCATGCTGAAATTTAAACCCCTGTGCCTCCAGGGAAGTCCCTGACTTGACAGTTTGTAGTCCTCAATCTTCCACCATACAATCTGCTACAAAGACAATGGGTGGCTTTTCGGGGACAGGGGAGGGAAAGGTTGAGGGTTTTTTGTGTTTGTTTTTAAAGATTTATTTATTTATGCATACAGAGCTGGGGAACAGGCCAGAGGTGCAGGGGTGGCGGGAGGATTCACCAGAGACAGAGCGGGGAGCAGAACAGGCAGATCGA